GAGCTTTTCGAGCGGGTGCACCGGGCGGATTCCGGGAGAGAGCCTGAGAATCTATCTCCCTCACTGACGGGCGAAATGTCGAAATTCACCATAACCCCCTCAGAGGTGAAACAGGAGCTTCTGGAGCTAAAGTTGTCCAAGGCGGCTGGACCGGATGGAGTCCATCCAGCCATCCTAAAGCCCCTGGCTGATGTGTTGGCCGAACCCCTAGCCAAACTGTTCAACCAGTCACTGTACGCAGGGAATTACCCACAGACCGGAAGGTAACCGAGGTTGTTCCTATACACAAGAAGGGAGTAGGGAAAACGCCAACAACTACCGGCCAGTGAGTCTGCTATCAGTGGTACTCAAGGTCATGGAGAAGATCGTTAGGAAGCACATAGAGGCTCACTTGGAACTAAACGGGATGGTCTCGGCAGGGCAGCATGGTTTTCGTAAACGGAGATCATGTCTAACAAACCTGCTGTCGTTTTTGGATAATAATAATAATAATGATAATAAGTGTATATTCCACGGAGCCCCGTGAGGCATGCATAGGCATGATCAAATGTACAACATAATCCTCCGTATAGGAGAGGACCAAAAGGGGAAAAAATTGAAGGTCGCAGTAAACATAATTACAAATGGAACACAGAGTGGACGAGGTATCAGATAAGAAATGGTTAAGGATGGCGGAATGCTCTAAGAGAGCAAGTCGGTGAAAGTAACACGAAAAACAAGAATTGTTATATCGCATGAATGGTGGGATGATTGGAAACACGACAAGCAGTGAGTAAAACAACAAGAAGCGGTCTGCATATCGTTGGACGGAAACGGGCACAAGAGCGGATAGGGTGAAGCAGAACAGAGTGAAACTGTCATGGAATATATATGCACTTCACGTTGTGAAACAGATGAGTTCTGAAGGGTCTTGTTCGATCGTCTCAGGGGCTCCAATCAGCAGTGGATTGATCTGGGCTATTTACGTTATTTAGGCGTTGGTCGCTTTGATGTGGGACTGACTACATGCTAGGCACCCAACCTTAGAACACCTTGTAAATGAGGCAGGGGATGCGTTCCTCTACCTGGTCCGGAATGCGGCGCATGTAGTCAAAGCGGTGGATACAGCCGCGCCCAACAACCATTGCCCGTGCGAAATTGTCCATTGCGGGTGTAGACCCCAAGCCCTCGTCAGGCCCAAAGCAACCGGATCTGGAATGGGAAGGCGTACATCGGCAGTCTAGGTTGCAGCCCAGCTGAGAAGGGATAAGGGAAAGAAATAGCAAAAAGCAAACGACCAATTCTAATCAAGCAGGGTGCTTAGGTCATAATACCGGTGAAAGGATGTTGTCAGGATATGTCTAGTTCTGCAGAATCAAAAAGGAAGTGGATACCCGTAATGGTAGAACATCGCAATCAGATATATACAAAGGAAGGAAAGATGGGTCACAATAATTATAAAAGTTTGTACCAAATTAGGGTGTGTTCCATAGATCCAGCTTCGAGGCCGGATACGTGTACTGATGTGAAATTGGTTGAGAAAGTAGACACTGCTAACTAGTTAGCATGTGCCACGGAGTTGAGCCAATTGATTCGGATGAAAACGGAATCAGATATACATAAAGAAAAGAAAGATGGATAACAATACTTATAAAAGTATGCAACAAATTAGGTTGTGTTTCACAGATCCAGCTTCGAAGCTGGATCCGTGTACTAATATGAAAATGGTTGAGAAAGTGAACACTGCCCTCGCTATATGACTCACTCCTCATCCCCGCAATAATCCTAGTAGCTAACCGTCGAACCCTCTCAATGACAATGATATCCTTCTTTAAGTAAGGCGCCCAAGCCTGCACGCAGTATTCTAACTGCGGCCTAACTATGGCCTAATATAGAGGTAGAAAAACCTCAGCCTTCCTTGCCGAAAATGCCGCCTTAGGCTGGAACAATTGCCCCCTCGCTTTTCCTGCGGCGGTCCGGCATTGATCACTGGGTCTAAAATCCTCGCGGACCAAAATTCCCAGATCCAGCATTCGGTCTACACGAGCGAAGACCGTCGGTTCAGTGGTCGTAGCCACGCAAACGGAAAGCCCTACGGTATTTAGAACGCGACACTTCGTAGAGTTTAGCTCAAAGTCCCACTTCATTGTCCACCGGACCACCTTGGTCAGATCAGCTTCAAGTTGATCTACCGGCCCTAAGTTCACTAGCTTGACGTCGTCGGCAAAGATTAAGGCAGGAACCGCTAGCTCCTGGACCAAGTCATTTATAAACAGCAGAAAGACCATCGGGCCTAGCACTGAGCCCTGAGGCATTCCGCTGGATACGTTGCCAACGTTGGACAGAGCTTCTTCCACCCAAACTCTATAGGTTCGGTTGGTGAGGAAAGCTTTTATCCATCTAACTAGAGCTGTTGGAAGACCAAAACCCCTAAGTTTTACTAGCAGGAGCCGATGATTTACCGAGTCGAAAGCTTTCCTTAGGTCCAGGTAGCACACTTCGACTTCCTGACCTCCATCCAACTTCCTTGTAACTTCGTCTAAGAAACAAAGAAGGTTGCTCAGACACGACCTCTTTTCGAGAAATCCGTGCTGGGCAGGGCTAATCAACTCATGTTGAGAGACGTGCTCAAAGAGAGCATTCCTAAAAATGGTTTCTAAGCCCTTACACAGCACGCTGGTCAAACTTACTGGTCTGTAGTTGCCAGGTTGCTTCCTATCTCCACCCTTGTGGATGGCTACTACTGTGGCTGTCGCCCAATCCCTGAATACTCGCCCAGCCCTAAGGGACTCCTGGTATAGTGCGGTTATCACAGGGGAGCTAGTGGCCTGATGATGGCCGGATGTAGCCCGTCGCTGCCAGCGGACTTGTTTACATTCAAGCCCTCCAGGACATCGAGAACAATGCTAACTGAAACTTCCACATCACCCATTGGAGGAGTGTCTAAAAACTCTCGGGGGACCGCACGCCCGTCGTCTATTTTATAGACGGTTTCGAAATACCTCCTAAGCGTCTCACATTTTTCGTAATCTGAGACAGACAGCCCACCTCCGGGGTTCTCCAGAGTGCCTACCGATTGCCTCAGTGCAGTCTTCGATTGCACATAGCTATAGTACCTCTTGGGTTCCCGACGCGCTCTCTTGGTGATTTTAACCTCAAAAGAAATTTTCGCCTGGCTTACTACCTTATTACCATAGCTTCTCGCTTTCTTATATTGAAGCCATCGTTCATGTCCTCCTGAGAGAACAAATGCATTCCACCTACGATTCCTTTTCCCTATGGCGCGTTTGATGGCTGGCTTCCACCACTGCGGTTTGGGGGCATCACCCCGAGGCTGCAAGGGAGCATGCCTCTCCGTCAACTTTAATAGCTGGTCGTGGATTATCCCCCATCGTTGATCGATGGACGCTTCTGTTCGTTGCGTGAACCATGCTCTAGTCTGAGCATCTCACTTCGAGTCCTCTGCGTTCATTCGCCCGAAATTGCGGCACCACCTGCGGGGTGGCTTTTCCTTCGCAATGCATGTTTCTAGCAGCAGTACATTGTGATCACTTTTACCGAGAGGAACCTTCTGTCTTAGATCACTGATCTCACTCTCTTGCTGAGTGAGGACCAGATCCAAGGTAGACGGTCTCTGCCCTAGCCGTATACGCGTTGGTTCTCTCGCGTGCTGGTAGAGTGATGCCGCATGGAAGCAGTTCATGAATTCATGTTCTACTTGCCCCTCACCCTCGTCTTCGTACTGCCATTCTATTCCGGGGAGATTAAAATCCCCCACTATAATCGGAGGGTGCTGTCCGCTAACGACAGTGGTAATGAGATTTATCACCGCTCTATCATCCTCCGGTCTGGAGTTTGGTGATCTGTAGACACCTAATATGCAAAAGTGTCGGCCTCTGTTTCTTACAATGCAGCCTGTGGCTTGCACTGTTGGGGTACAAAGTGTTAGCTCAGGCATTTCCCACGGGATATACTGCCGACAAACGAGCAGTAGGACCCCGCCCCCTCACCCACCCTCCCTATCGTTTCTGTAGTGGGTAAAGTTTGTAGGGGCTAGTCGTTCGACTGATATGGTTTTGGATAACCAAGTTTCAGTAAGGATTACAATGTCGCAATCCCGGTTCCTAATCGCTAGCTCACCCCATTTGTTCCCAACGCTACACACCTTCAAGTACCACAATTTTAGGTTGTGTGCCTGGAAAAACGGAGCTTGTGGGTGTTTATCCCTCGAGTTATTAGTGCCCTCAAGCGTAACACCCGAGGGCCAACTGCGTTTTTGGCGTAACAATTCGCTTTACATCCTGCATGGAGCAGTTCCCCTTCCTTTCGGGGGACCTTACCCTGGTGGAGCTTGACGCCATTTCGATAACAGTGTCATTGATTAACGAGCCACCCTCGTCTCCAGTTTCGGTGGCCACTGAACATTTGTCATACTTCTCTGGCTCCGGGCTTTGTCCCTGGGCCCCTACTTCGGTCTTTCTAGACTCTGGGGTCTGAGTAAACCTGGTGGTCGCAATCGGCGTCAGTGTCAGGTCCACGATTTTAGTCGGGGGGAGTGAGTAGTTTTTCCTACCTTGGTTGCACTGTGGGCACTACCTGCGTATGCGTTTTTGCTTTAGGTGTGTCGCTGAACGGTCGCCCCACGGCCGGTACTGCCTCTAGTGGCACAATCGGAAGTGAAGTTTGGTTTCTAATAAACTTAACCATTTGTTGCACCACAGCCCTTGGGTGCTTGCGGGGTCCCTCTTTGTTCCGAGATTCTTTACCGGTTTCGGTCCTGCCAGTACCATCAGTTCCGACCTCAAGTGAGTCAAGGAAACCACCTCTGCGTAGCTCGGCTTGCATTGGTGTTCCGGTTTCTTGGGAGGACACGGTTCCGAAGAGGCCTTTATGGCGGCTACCTTGATGATCGCCTTTCCGGTCACCTTCCTCTTCACTATCGCGGGTGCATGGTCCTGCTCTGGAGTCTGCCATGTACCCTGCTCTCGGGTATCAGGTGTGATCTGATACCTGCCCCCAGAGACTCGCTGAATTTTCTCACAGTTACTAAGCATTTGGCCACGGACCATGGGATTTCCGAATTCCACTAGGATGGGCGTAGCTTTTCTCCGCTGCAGGCTGCCTGCAGGGTCGATCCTGTGGCCGACCCTCTGAGCCCTCTTAATGAGTGAATGTGGGAGTAACCCTGCGAGTCTCAAGAGGTCCCGAACTTTCTTATGTTCTATGTCTGCCCGGGCTTTCGCATCCCGAATTAACGGCTCTTCATTGTTATAAATGAGGATGTTCCTGTTCGTGCCCATGGCAATGTCGTTCTCTTTATTGAGAAGCGACAGTTGCCTTCTCTAGCATAGTAACTTTCTCTTCTAGATCTTTTACAACTTTTATCAGATCCAACTGCGAATCCTGTGAGTTATGGATTACCCCCTGTTGCTGCCTGCCTTTAGATTGGGTTGTTGACCTGCCTTCTCCGTCAGTGCTAAGCATGTGTAGCAGAGCCACTGTAAGGCGTCGTTTCCCACATAAGCTTCGTAGGCGTTACGTTCTATGTGGGCACACCCTTGGTGGTACCAGTAACCGCAGCAGTCACACTGAATACCGTCAGAGACACTTTTCTGACAATTAAGAGCTCCAGAACAACCTGATTTGGCCATGGCGGAAGATTGCAATGAGCAGTTCTTTTCTCTAGGCAAAACATCTTACGCAATGAAATCACTGATTCCGAAATTAAGCACCCGAGGACTTACCGAATATCTTCGCTAAGCGGATTTACGGACTTTTCCACGATTTTCAGCGGTTTCAGCAGCTTTCACTCACAGTGGCTTGTAACGACGACACCAGAATTTGCCACCTCAAAAATTTGAGCTGTGCACTCAAGGTCGTCCAGTTCAGGGGATGACTTTGACGATTTTTCCAAGTTTTTTCTCGCCATTTCAACTATGCATATATTTGTGATAAATTAGTTTATTTTGACTCTAGGATACATTGGTTTCTTCAGTTTATATTTTCCCGACAAACATTTTCGCTTTATTATTA